TGCCCGGCGCCGAGCGGTCACACGGGTCCCCGCTGTCCTTCTCAAGCTTGGCGTTGGCTCACGGTTTCACCAATCTAGTTACTGAGAAAATCCTCGAATTTGGAAGGAACGGAAGGACATTTGAAGCACTGTCGTTTCTGTACCTGCCTTCCTTTGGCCTTTGGAGTTTTTTTACTATTTCTTTACTCACATCATCTTTGTTTTGCTTTAGGTTTTTGTGTGTTTGCTTTTTTGACTGTTTCCTAGCTTATCTCGATCTTACTGACAGACATGCCTCTGAAGTACTGCATGTAGATGAAATTGTATAGCAAGGTGCTGTACGTGTGGTGTGTACATGAAATTTGATTAATCTGGACCCACTTCAAGCCACAAAAACGTTATAGTTGTGTTGTTTGGGTTTTTAAAAATGTATTTTATTTCTATTTATTTGAAATTATGTCAGGACATAGACAGGATTGACTGCTCCCTAAGGCATAGGGTGGGACTCCCCTGGCTTCCAGGGCAGGCCTCCACCAGCCAGGGCAGGTCCCACCACATCCAGCCAGGGAGCAGGGCAGGCCAGGGCAGGGGTGTGGTGGTGGCAATCCAAAGATCAGATGACTGACATGTTTGTGATTGTCAGGAAGCTCTGAAGTCAATCCATGGGTCAGGGTCTGGACCAACAAGGCCCATAAACAAGCACATGTGGGGCTGTAGCTGAGTGAGAAAGCAGCACTCCTACTCCATCACTGGAGCAGAGACTGTCAGCCCTGGATGGAGCTGAGCTGGAGTCCCTGAACAGAGGCTATGAGTGGTGGTCCCAGGTGTGGCCTGTCAGGACCATGATGGCCTATGAGTCCTCTTGATGCCTTAACAGATGAAATTACTATAACCTACTCTGTAATTGTCCAAACTGATAAAGAGAATTATTTGCCTTATCAGGAAACCCTTCTTGGCATGAGGATAGCTTGGGACAGGTGACAAGCCCAAAGGAGAGGCTACTGTAAATCACTGTTTCCCACAGGGCTTTTGGCTAGCAGAGCTGGGCAGAGGGTTAATGCCAGGTTGGTCACTGCTGAAGAGAGATAGACCCATTTCTCACTTCCTGGGCTGTGCTGGTGACAGTCACTTCTGTCCCAGTGTTTCTAGTTTCCTCTTTAGGGAACTGTTAGTGGTTTGCTATGGACAGTGTCCATTTTTCAATCATAGAATCATAGAATCAACCTGGTTGGAAGAGACTTCAAAGATCATTGAGTCCAACCCTACCATTGCTACTAGACCATGGCACTAAGTGTCATATCCAGTCTCATCTTGAAAACCTCCAGGGATGGTGAATCCACCACCTCCTCGGGCAGCCTGATTACTCTTTCCATATAAAAAAAATATAATTTGATATCACTTCCCTACCCTCATGTCACCTCAGAAACTTAAAAATCTCCTAAAGCCTTCTAAGGAGAGCTCTGCATGGACCTGGCACAGCTCAGCACTGGCAGGCATCAGCAAGCACTGCAGGGCCACCACAGTGACACCTGCCTTAACCTATTTACAACTGGCTTCTTCACAGGCAACTCCACTGGGTCTCAGGATTGTAAAGATGGTGGGTAGAGAGCTATCAGGGAGACATTTGCAGAGACAAAGCTCCCTCTGTGCCTGACTGAAGTGATCCCTCTGCCTCATTGGGTTTGGAAGCTGGGTGTTGCATCGGGCAGCCTGGCTTCCCCTGTACCCTGCTGCCTGCCACAGCCAGACTGGGGCTGAGACTGCAGCTCCTGGCTGGGCAGGCTGTCCCCTATTGAGCCTGGGCTTTGGCCACAGCTCCACCTAGCCCTTCAAACATTGTCAGCTTTCATGTGCCAGCAAAACCAAGATGAGCGACAGGAAGGGGATATGCAATTCTTTTACTGCTATGAAAACCTAAACTAGCAAACCTATCTGGGAGCCTGATAATAGCGGAAAATAGTGCTGAGGCTCCCTGTGCTCCCTTCAGCCCAACAGAGATGGTAACATGAATGGGAAGTGATGGAAGAGAGTGTTCCCTCTGCCTGTCTCTCTGGCCACCCTGAGCTGCAGCAGCTGCCTCCTGCCCCGCTGCTCCCCAAAGCACACACAGTGCACTGCAGCTGTCCTGGGACATGCGTGTCTGTACTTCTGCCCTCCTAGTCTTCCCAGGCACCTCTGGGCAAGCAGTCAGTTGGGACACGAGGAGCTGAGCAGAATGGTCTTCCTTACCAGCTCCCAGTTCTTCTTTTGCTGGATTAATCTCAGCTCACATGCAGACGAGATGGTTGGTTTACCACGGGAAAAAATTGCCACTTAAGGTTTCTCCCTAGACAGCTTGGAGAAGTGTAACTTGCCCTTCTCTGCTTGGCTGAGCTTCCAAGTGTGCTGCAAGCCACTCTCCCTGCAGCTGTCACTCTCAGTTCCCGCAGCCCTGCGTGCTTGCGACAGACCCCAGAAGTCCTATGGAATATTCTTGCAGGGAAACCTCATGTCAGTCTTGTAAACCCTCAACAGGCCCTCAGTGAAGCCCTTCAGGTTTAACACTGTGACTCAACAAGGACCTCAGGAACCCTCATTACTTCTTTGGGTGCTATCTGTGTTCTTTTCAATTTTGCCTACACAAACCCAAGAATTAGTCATGTTCCCACAAAAAAAAAAAGAAATAAAATTGCAGCTGTATTTTTTTGTAAGCTCTGTGAGTTTTGACTGATGAAAATTGGAATTCTCTCCAGTTCATATTGAGGGCATCAAAAAATGTGCAGTGGGCACTGTCTGTTAATCTGCTAGTGAAGGGATTTTGATTGCTTTTTGCCTTTATCAAGGCATTGTGTCCTTGGGTATTTGTTTGTTATAGATATCTGCTCTACAAAAGAAACATATTCACTATAAATCACTATTTAAACTATATAGAATGATCTTTCAAAAAACTTGTTCTCATGAAGAATCATACAATGGTTCAAATGGTTTGAAATTTTGAAAACATCTTTTAATTGTAGAACTCTATACAAACTTGGGTAGATACAGAAATGGTCACGACAAAATGTGTTCTTATTGCCTGAAAATTTTCACAGAAATACAAACATTGATGGCAAGCTTACTGACATCCAACAGGATGAGATATCTTTAAACTTGCAAAATGAATAGACACAACACTCCTAAGCAGTTTGTATGTATTTGACTGCCCTTAAAGTCCTACTACTTATATACCAACCTCAGTATACAAAGAACCAAGATTAAAATTTTTAATGCACATCACATAATAATGTAAAATTAAGCACAAAAAAAGGTAAACAAAGTGTAACCCTGAAAATACACTATTTTTTTACCTAGGGCATTGCCTTACTCCAAGAATGATTTCCTGTATAGTTGTGTTTTAAGCGAGACACACATTTTGTTTCTGCACAGAATGTCAGTATCAGATGGAGATACAAAAACAAATGTTAACAAAACAAAAGGGAAAGAAACATAATCACAAGTAGAACTCAAACTCCATGCCAGTGTTCTTGCAGCCCTAAGCAAAGCTATACATAAAAATATGCTACAACCATTGTTCTCCAAAAGTCCTTGACACTTTTCCTCTGATCTTTTTTTTTCTCTCTTTTAAATGGAGCAAATTACATTTCTGCACCAATATCATAAGGCAAAACTATAAATGCAACTACAAGGACAAGTTACCAAAAAAACCCCAAGCCAAGATAATCACCACCCTCAGACCATCACCCCTCAACTCCAGATGCTTAGTGAAATAATATCATCCTTCCTCCTCATCACTGTCTTTCATAGTAATGCCCTGAAGTCCTCCTGCATCCGTGACTGAGACTGTGGCTTCCTCCACGGTCAGACGGCTGTGAACGGTATCGTAGGTCTTACTGTTCAGCGTTCCCTCCATCACGCCTTGCAACCTGAAGTCTCGGTAAGTTTTCTGTGGCAAAAATAAAACATCCTGAATTGGACTCCAGCAAGTGTAAGCAGGCTTTCACTACACACTGGCCATTTCTAGCATGCCAGCGGCACAGCTTCATTCCTCCTGCAGTTAGGGACCTATCATCTTGTTAAAGATTTTTTCTGAGCTGCATGAGATTTCTACAAACTAGAGATTCTAATTTGATGGTAATTCCTTTAAGAGATTGTGTTTTGTGCTACAGAATACTATAACTGCTGATTTCTCAGTAACTTCCATTTGTCTTATTTATTCAATAAGAAACCAGCAAAGAATTTTACTAACTACATGCTGAAATGTGAATTTGGCTACAGGTAGTTTCTGTGAGAAAATGTAAATGCCTCACTCTTTTGCCATAGTGTAATTTTATTTACATTTATCTTTACATTTATATGCCAAATGTAGAAAAATAAACTTAGATTATAATCTATATTCTACAATGACAACATTTCCCAGATGACTACTTCAGTCAGTTAATTTATGTTCTAAGTCTTCTCTACATCTTATTTTTTTTCTCCTTGAGAAGGTTTTGTTTCCCTGGTATACATCCTTTCTACGAACCAGCAGATATGACTTTCCTCTTTGACTTTCCATCACATAAGAACTCTGAGTGGAATTGTTTTATTCATCAATGCTATGCTCAAGTGAGCACATGGAAAATCATCTACCTTCTTTATTTTTAAACTGTAACACATTTAAAATAATCTTTCCTGAAGTTACTAAAAAGCTCAAAAATGCCAAGTTGATCTAGCTAATTTCTTAGGTTGTGTACACTACCACTACAAATTCAAAATGTTTATGGAAGAGAATATGGGTACAAGAAAATGGAAGATAATTAAGCGCTATCTCGCCCATTCTTCTGCCTGAGGAGAAGACCATGAACAACCCTTAGAGAGAGAAAAGAGTTGATCTTGTTTCACTCAATAATTCAGAGAACTGCAAAAGACACCTCTTAAAATGGGTAACAATCAGCTGGGAGATTTTTTTTCTACCACTATCTATGATGATTATTTAAACCTTGTTTGAATCACTGCAACTGAGATTTATTTGACTTTCACAGGTCAACCTCAGAGTCAATGGATGCAGCTTATGTTTTGCTCACACACTCCTGTGAGTACCCCGCCTGGTCTTTTTCAAGTGTCACCATTGCATTCCCTTTTTATAACACTGTGCATTCAATTTGCTTTTATGCTGTTAACAGGTCCTACAGCAATTTCTTTCAGTTTCACATTGTATTCTTCCCATTCTCAGACCAGCACTCTGGGGTTCAGACATTGCTCTTCTCTTGACATAGTTTTGCAGGATAATAATGTTCACTTCCAAGCTTAATTTTTCATTTCTCCCTAACTTTCCTTTTGGTCCTTGACCCTTCTTTAGTCACATCCCTCTGCACGTGTCTCAGACATCTAACAAAACCTTTATGCCATCATAAGCCTTTAAAGGGAACAATGTTTCTTCTGGTCTTTCTTAATAATGCCACTATCTTTGTTGCATTCAAACATGAAAGAATTATATTTCCCATATCCCTTAAAAACTACCTCCTTGTTTTTATTTATTCATTAACCTATTATTAATATTTTCAAGACATAACAGGGGCAATACAGCTTCCCAGTTGTTTTTTATTTTCCTTTTCCAAAAGCAAACAGAAAAGTGCTTTCATTTGCTCTAGAGTTTGGAGGAACAGTGCCACCCCACATGTCTCTCCCCAGTTGGGCTGCAGCTGGGAAAGTTTCTTATGATACTCGAATCACTGTTTCTTATTTCCCAGCAGCCTTCTGTCTGCTGAGTTCCTGTTTTACCAGTTCTGTCTTCTTCACCCACCAAAACACAGGTGCACAAAATTTTCTGTTTTCCTGTACATTACCAGAACCAATATGATTGACATCACCTTCTTCAATCTTCTATATCCACAGAAGGTGCCATGGAGTAACACCCTTGGAATTTATGTGCAGAGAAAACCAGGTGTATGGGCACAGAAAGGCCACCACCATAAGCAGGTAGACTTCAATTTTGTAAGTGCTTCTTTTAATCTGCCTGATGATATTTTACTGGTATAATTTAGCTTGCCCATTCTTAGGTCTCACTGAGCACAGGTTTTAGATCCTCTAACACCTATTTTTTATTCTGCAGAGGATGATAACTACCTTGGAGAGGTACTCTTTACAAGGGCATGTAGTGACAGGACAAGAAGGAATGGATTCAAACAGAAAGGTTGTAGGTTTAGGTTAGATATTAGGAAAAAGTCTTTGCTGTGAGGGTGGTGAGGCACTGGAACAGGTTGCCCAGAGAAGTTGTGAATGCCCTATCTCTGGCGTTGTTCAAGGCCAGGCTGGATGGAACTCTGAGCAACCTGGTTGAGTGAAAGATGTCTCTGCTCATGGCAGGGGGATTGTAACTGCATAGTCTTTATGGTCTCTTCCAAACCATTCTATGATTCTATGACTCACCTGAGAATAGCTTTAAGCCTTTCACAAGAGCCATTCATTTCAACAAGCAATAGCAAACTGCTTTTGGCATTTAGGCACATAATATAATGGAGAGCCAAATCCTATTCCTAGAGAAATCAATTAAGGTCAAAAATAGCAAAGCTAAGCTTGAGTGGTTCAGGGAGCCACGATGCCATCATTATTATGACTGTTTTCTTGCATCAATATCTGTTCAGTTACTTATTCTAGGGATCCTGAAAGTTGTAGCTGCAATTCTGGTGTCCATGAGTTAAAATGCTTCCGACTTTATAGTCTTGCATGAACTTCATGAGAAAATATTCTGAAGAAACCCAGGTCAACACTGACAACAGGTGCTTCTTATTCCACATTTGTACAGATAATAAGAGTGTCCAAAGTTAAACAAGACAGAATTAGAAGGAAAAAAAATCAGAAATGGATTTCTGTCTCTTGCCTAAGGGTATTAGCTAAGATCTGAATGGGAATTAGAAGGAAGCTTTCTCTTATGGTAGGTTAACCCATAATTGCCTATTGCAATGTATATTACATTTTGCTTGGAAGCATTTGACATTGGCCTGTGTAAATGACTGAGGACTGAACTGGAGGGACTGGTATTTCTATTGATACTTATCCCCCAGTACAAAAGATTAGAAAATGTTATCTAATACATTGAATACTGTTTTCAATTAAACCTAGTAACCACGTGCATAAAAGAGAAAATAGTTCCTTTTCTCAGGAAAGGGAGAAAAACGGAGAAAGAATGCCACTGGAATTATTAAGGTAAGCAAAAAAATCAGTAAAAAGACAAACAATAATTTATTAAGAATGCCATTCAGCACTGCTGTACAGCTAGCAGTAACCTGCCAAAATTCCTTGGAACAATCTTAATTGTCACCGAGTCCAGAATGGAAGACAAATAGTAGTGCACATATAATTAACATTAGAGGGTTTAATAAGTTATTTTACTTCTGGAATTTGCTAAAACCTGGGGGAAAACTCTCAACCTAAAACTACATAAGTTCATGACTTAATTCCACATTTTCTAACTTTTAGGGTGACCTGTACTTATCCATGTTGATACATTATTACTTTTCTCTCTTTAGCATGCAGTCTAATGCAAAAAAATTTCATTTACCTTAACTATCTTGATGAGAGTCTTCAGCTGGTAGATGTGAAGCTGAAGGTCTAATCTATCAGCCAGCCACATGCTTATGACTTTCATGGAGTTGCTATACCATTGCTGAAAAGAAGGATAAAAACCACAAACAAACACCACCATATAACACTGCAGTATTCATTTAACAGATCTGGTAATGAGAGGTAATGAAACACTTTGAAATGATCACAGATCAGCACTTGAAGTCAACAATGATATAATTTCCTGTTATGAGAATTGCATGGGTCAGTAGGAAATCAAATAACTTGACCTAGACTGTTCTTTACATGAATTAGCACCTGCCATTTTATCTTTCAGTTACAACATTTTCAAACAAAATAGTGTTATGCTCTTTGTTATCTGTCAGTGAGAATGGATATTAAAGATACAATTACATGAGAGAATTGACAGCTAAAACAGCAAGGGAAAAAACAGGTAGGGTATGTAGGGTTCCAGCATCAGAGAATATGGAATCTGTCTGCTATTTTTTTATTTTAGATTGCTTCATTATCAGGTAAAAATATCAGAAATCCCTGGAAACTTATATTTAAGTATGGTCAAAACACCACTCCACCCCTCCCAAAATAGGTTTTGTTTTACATTAATTACTAATTATTATTACAGCCTACCTTATTTCCTTTTTATGTCTTAGGCAGGGGTATGTTTTCACTCAACACTTCACAAACAGATGGGTTAAGAATAAGCTCTCTGCTGTTTGTGTCTATGTTACTGTAAAAAAATGCTCAGTTCCAAATAGCTACTATAATAGTTCTTTGACATTAACTGGATTAAGAGATTTTGCTAAATATAGTTGTAGCATTTTTCCTCCCCCTTCCTGTAAAATACCAACCAGATGGCATTTAGTCAAACTGTAAAAAAGAAGGGATTTTTTTTTTCATTTTACCAGTGAGAGATTAAGAGAGTTTGTGTCATAGCTCCATTTCTAGTCTCTTTCCCCACAGGGAAGAGGCTTAAATTCATTTCTAATGTAATTTCTTGCAAAATACAGAGATATGCAAAGAGAGAAAACCATGTGCATATTTCAAAATGCAGCATGTTAGGCAAGGTATAGTTTGTGAAAGTAAGTCAAAAGAAATATCTAATGTCTCATTAGCCACCTTCACATTAACAAATAAAATAAAATGCATACTAAAAAATTATGACAAATTACTGGCAACTGCATAGAACAAAGGAAAGAAATAGAACTCTTTCATCAAAATGTAAACCCTCTGGAAAAAGCTTTAAAAGGATACAGTAAATAAATATACATACTTTTTTTTCCTTACAGTAAACAGTCTCATCACATTGTAACTATCAGTTTTAAGATAAGTTTGAAATTAGATTTTCATATAATAATGGATTCTTCTTTTTTTTCTGAATGTGTTAAAATGCATTTTAATTATAAATCAGTGGAAATAAATTACCTTTACTTTTTTAGAGTTTCTCCTATCTGGTATTTTACAGAAGTTAACAGACACACCATGCAAAAAGTGGATAGCTACACATTTCATAAAAGTAGTTTGATTTATTCAATAAAATGTGAGACCGATATCCATAACACACTGTTTTTTAATCACTGAATGACATTCTTATACTATTCATAGTATTTTACCCCAATTTGCATGCTGGTATTGATTCCCTCTGTAAGTACTTGCAAAATATTTGTAATGTAACAGAGTTGTTACTAAGTGGCAGCTGTAAACTATATGACAGGTGTTGTATGTATGCAGATGTCTAGAAAATAAAATACAGTTGAGTTTATTCACTTAGAGAACTCCATTGATCTAAATAAACATGAAAATTCCTATGTCGAACATTCTATCCAGATGGAGTAAGATGAGCTCAATTATTATATTATCCCTCAGACTCTACAGTTGTTAATCTTAAACATAATTCTGGGAGAGAGAATTATTTTAGTAATGGAACTTTCTCAGCACTGATATTCTTCCCTGAAAAAACATCCAGAAACGTATCTGTGATGTATTTTGTTTGTATCAAGCAGAAAGCAGAAGGGGCTCATATTTGCTCACACAAACAAACTAGAGACAGGATTGAAAATTCTGACATCGATTTTCCCATGCAACACCACTGAGCAGTGCCAGATCACTGAGAATAGACTGTTTTCTGGCAAAACGTGTGTTTTAAAGCCCATCCAGATAACTTAATTAAGATATATGCAGTAACACTTAGACTTTCCCTATATATCTGTGATATTCTTACCTGCACTGAAAAGAAACCTAAGAAATTGGAGGAAATTAATTTTTCTACTCAAATTTATGAATAAAAACAATATAATATTTTTCCTGACTAGTTCTGATACATTAAACTTTCAGTAGAAATTTTTAATTTGATGATTGTGGAATAATACTACAGTACTTGCTCCTCTGTCAACATACCTTGTTCAGAAGAAATATGACTGCTATTGTATTAGGAAAAAAAATCTATTCTTATTTTGAGTTGTCAAAGTAATTTTAATAAAAATTTCATCCAGTATATTTTTAGAGATCTTCCAAAGGTACTTGTAGTTAGGATTCCTGTTCACTATTGGTCTTATACCCACTAGTTTTGAGCACCAAGTATAGGCTGAAGCTGCATAAACATAAATCTGCCGGACTTCATAGCAAGAAAAGTAAATATTTCCCTGTTGTTTCTTTTGGAGTCTGTTAAGAAGCTCAGTACTGCAAATGCCTCTCAGAGGTGGAATCCAAGGCCACACATTTTGACAATCACAAGCACGTTATAGAGACAGGGATGGATCTACTGTGACTTACGGGAATCTATAATAGTAACTACAACAACAGTAATAATAAGTCCTTCTAACTGGTTTTAGGAAAATATCACTTTCCTGTTAGTAACAATAGCAGTGAAAGGACAATGTACCTCTTGCAGATGTCATTATATGGTATTAGTGCCACATTCTTTGCTATTGTCTACGCAAGAATAAAGCAGAAAGTGTTTATTATATACTTTTTTTCAAACTGGCACGTAATAGCAGCCAACCACTTTAACAGAAATATTTGCCTCCTTATTTCCCCCTCTCTTCTTACTCACAGCTCACCCAGCTCCTGTAAGGGCATGCATTACTCACTTCATTTTCCTGAGATACCTCTTTTAAAGTAAAAAATAAGAGAAAAGGAAAGGCTAGGGTTGACTCTGTGAGACCCTTGTATTTATTCACAGTTATTGTGCATGACTGTACACTGGTAAATCATATTAGCAGCCCATCTCCCCATCAAGCTGCTACTTGCTTTCCAGCCCTGGGAAGGTTCAACAAATCAACAGGAGCACGGAAAACAGAACATCAGTCTAATCTAGTGTTTAAGGTGAAGTTTTCAAACCCAATCTAAGAAGATCTTTAGAGCAAGCAACAAGCTGAAGGGCTCAGAAGGTGGTATTGACAATGAAAGAGAGTTGAAATATTGAGAAGCGCAGCACTTGTGCATTTTTAATAACAACAGGGGCAACAAGGACACAGCTCCCTCGGTGCCAATAGTTGCCACACCAGGGCTATAAACGCTCTCAGTTCATCAGATTTCTTAAACAGTTCATCAGCTTTCTTAAACACCCTAAACCCCCTCAGCGGACCTTTAGTCTTAAATTAACAAACCAAAGCAATGAAAGAGGGTGCAGCTTGAATGGCCAGCATTGATCCCCAACGGGGCTCGGCGCGGCTACAGGCACTGAAAAACTCACTCCATTGTCGGGAGGAATTGACAAACCTCCTCGCCTAAATAGTTCAGCTCAGGCAGGCTGGAGGCACGCAGCTGTAAAGGGCTCCCCTCGCCCCGCTCCCAGCGCTCACAATGCGCCAGGCATGAGCTCTTTGTCAGGCCCAGACTCTGCAATTTTCTAACAAGGATTAAAGTTGTTTCTCGGCAGGGCCAGTGAAAAGCGATTTAGCAACATACCGTGCTTTCTTCAGGCAAGTTAAAGAGAAGTAGTTAAGGAATTTCATTATTCTGTTGACCGGTGGAAATACAAAACAAATATATTAAATATTCACCATCTTTCTGGGTGTCTGAGCCATAACATTCGCAGAACGGTTCAATTAAATATAACACTTATGGGCTGAAAGCAAGCACTTCAGATTTATTTTTGAAGTTTTATAAAAAGGTGCAGCTGTTTGCCACCTGGAAGGAGGCTCAATACATACTAATACACAATGCTTTAGTCCTTCTAGGGCTGGTGTCCCTAACGCCTCAGACGCAAGACCCCGTTGAGTTTCTATACCTTTGCCTGTTCTTGATAAATGGGCACTGACAAAATGCTTTTTCTGCTGAATATGGCAGGGAGAACAGCTTTTCTAGGAACTGCATTTTATCTTCTTACTGAAGCCTTTATCGCACTATTGATCAGGAATTTAGTCACTCAGACGACAACGGGATGTTTTTACTTCCTTCAGCTTTACTTGCCCTACCAGGAACAATAACAAAAAGTATACTTCTCACTGAAGAGATTGTACACCAAATGCAGCACAAGCTAAAATGTATAAGAAGTAACATAAGCATGTTAAACACTAAGTGCTAAGAAGCCTAGCTTTTATTAAAAGGCAATGCTATCATATTGCTTCAGGATTTTGACAGCTAGCACAAGGTGTGTGCCAGGGAACTTTTAAAACATTTAAAAATTGCTAAATGGTGAAAGAATAAACAAGTTATTACTTAAAAATGAAAACAACAAAAGTTAGGAAAAAAGGTCCTGATTTAAGTTTCATAATTTCCTTCCCTCTTTGTAAAATACGAATAATTATACTGACTTCCTCTGTTGAATGTTAATGATAATGAGGGAAACAAGTGTCATTTTTGGAGTCTTTGAAAATACTCTGAGGTCTACAAGTTATACCTGCATTTTCAAGTTATACCTAAATATCACTCCCAAACTTAGGGGTGGGCCACCGTAATACATCAGAAGGTGTGGATACATAGGAACACCAAAACAAGAAATGAAATCAGAAGACGTAATTAGCATTCAAAATATCTTTATTTTTCTTTTCCAGAAATTAAAAGTATGTAGTTGCAGACTAAAGCAACAATGAAGCAACTTTGCAGAAACATAAAAGATGTTTATGCTTTTCCCTCAGGCTT